CATTCAGTTTCTGTTTATGTATGTTATGGAAAACTGTAATTTACAAATGGTAGATTCTGAAGCATACACGCCTAATTTTCATCAAACTAGCACTGTGCATTTGTAGATAACCGAGCTATACACATGACAATTAAGAACAGATGCCATATGACCTCAAAGTAACACGACAGAAATCAGCCTATACAAAATTCCACTTACTTTTATTTCATTTTCCTTGCAAGGCACATCAAAGTTTGGGGACTCAAAGGCAACCTGTATCCTTATCACAATAGCACCTTTTGGATCTAGCGTAAATCCGAGAGCTATCAGTTCTCGCCACGCTATTTTCCCAGCAGCCAATTCATGTTTAATATTATTCAGCCTTCTGTCTCTTTCTTGCATTGGAATGGACGATAAAATGTGGGAAAACTTTGGAGGTATTTCAGATAGTTCTGGATTAGAGATTTGATCTGCATAAACCCTGCTGTAAATAAAAGACTACCGACAGTGAAACCCTTGCGAAATGCACATGCCTTTGGAGAAACAAAGTAATCAATATTTTTCTTCACATATGGCAAACATATTCCAGAGAAGCAATACAAACAGCAGAAAGAAAGAATAGAAAGAGTAGCTAAAATAAAACAAACCAAAAAATTCCTTCAGGGATTCTAGACCATTCTTCCCCATGTTGATTCAGAGAAAGTAAAAGGATACAGGAACATTTTCAATAGCAACTGCATGATCAATTCCCTTAGTGGGAGCTTGCCATTATCAGCTTAGTTTTAAACTACAAGAATTTAATCATTATTACTGCTACAGGATCAGAGTGTTTCCAGTCATTATTTGTAGCTGTTTTTAGTAATTAAACACAAAAGTTCATATTTCATAATCACTTCATTGTGTAGTGTTTACTGAAAAATGAACAGAAGCGTTAATCAGAAGTAACTGCAGTAACATTTCTGTCATCTACAGATTTTGTAATTTTCAAGATAGAACAGAAAATACAAGAAGAATTGTGGTGTGCTAAGCTACTGAGAACTCTCTCTTTTAAATAGAAATCTGAACCGATAAAACAGAAAGCCACTTTGTCAAATCACCAAACACAAAAAACATTTCTCTATTTGCAGAGGGATTTTCTTTGCTTTTCTGCTGTCCTCTGAAAGTACAACCTACATCAGTATCCATCCAGTTTTCGTTACTTTGCTTTACACTTCAGCCAAATCTCTGTAAACAAAAATAGTCTTTTTTAAACTATCCTTGGGGACTGCTACAGTTGCTGAAAAGGAGAGGCCATCTCCTTTTCATCTCTCTTTTTTTTTAAAAAAAACAAACAAACAAAACAAAAGAAAAAGAAACAAAAACTAAGCAATTAGAAATCTAAAAAAGAAAATAAAATCAGTCAGTAAGCTTTCTTAATTAGAAATAACTGTAATCCATCTTACACCTTTGTTCTGAGGAACAATCATCTTAATATTATATCATTCCTTAACTTACTATTTCTTTATCATACTAATGCAATTATCACATTAGCAAGGTTCCTGTCTCCTTTCCTCGCATCAACAGCTACACGCAGATATTTCTTTTAATTGCTTCCAGAGAAATGTCTGGTCCTGCCAATGTAATTGTAACAGATGAAGAGTGCATCGCTGTGTATACCTGACCACCACATACAGCTTGAATAGATTTATTTTGGGGAAGTCAACAAACCACTTCAGCCTGAACCATTACTGAAACGGTCTTTATTCACGAACTACTATCATAGTACTTCTGCTGTTCGCAGTGTGACAACAAGCTTACAAAAACCTGCCAAGATCAGCCACTTCTGAAAGCTGTATTGATACATGTGGTAAGTACTAGTAAGACAATGGTTCAAGGCATTAGATACTACTCACAGAAAGCATATATTTAATGCTTTAGATTAAATATCAAGAAAAAACATTCTATCTGGACTGATAAGGGTACCCAGAAAAGTTAAGATAAAAGCTAGTAAGCATATTTAGCAGAGGCCAGCCAACCTATCGTAACATAAAACAATCATCTTTGCTGTCAACTTCTGTTTGATAAAGCTGAACATTTTTCAAGTCTAGCTAGCCAAAATTTTCACTGGTTTTTGAGTGCATTGGTTCTACAGAAGTGTCACTTTTAGTCCTGTCTTCCATTTTCTGAGTCTGATACTTTCTCTTTGGGGACACAAAGATTCAATCTCAGTATAACTATTTTGTGAAAGATACAATGTGCTTTCTACGACTAACTGCAATGCAAGATCCTCTTTGATAATCTGGTAGGTTCAAGGGAATTCTGCATGTTGGCTTTTAGCAAGACCTGTAACAGCAATAGTTTAGCTTTAAAACTCATAAGAATGTAAGAATAGCAACACTGGATCAGATCAAATATTCACCTCTGACAGCAAACAACAGAAATCAGTTTAGGCACAGAGAAAAGCACAGATACTCTCCTAACATGGGCTAAGTATGGTGGCAGCTATTTCTGCAAAGGTGGAACCTCAGGTTTGCAACAGAACCCGAGAGAATTTGCAGATTATTTTGTCCAGTCCTTTTTGAATCCACCTTCAGTTTTAGAAACTTGTATTTCCTTTCCTTCCAACCATAACCTGCAAATCATCTGTCTTCCACACTGAAAAGTCCTTGTCTGTGTTTCTAGTTGCTTGTAACTAACTGAATTATTCAGTTGCTTGGAGAAAAAACAAACAAACAAACAAACAAACAAACTGTTTTTTACTGCATTGATGGCTTGTAACTCATCTTGAGAATATTCCAGCTAATGTCAGCCTCAACCTGAATGAAGCTAAGTCAGGCTAGAGCCAAGTTAAAAGCCAAGCTTTTTTATTCAAAAAGATGAGCAGATTTGAACAAAGGTTAAATTAATTTAAGCACATCTCCATTAGAATTCTGTGGTAATCTACTTAGATTAGTTTTCTAAGATAGAGGAAAAAAAGATGCAGGCAGTGAATCTGTCTTCATCGTTTCAATATCCATCAAGGACACGGAGCTATGATTATCATTTGCAGTTTGACAATGACAGGAAACTGCCTGTAAAGAACCACGTTCAAAAGAAAAAAGTAATAGCTGGGTTTCATCTCTCACTGATAAAATTCAGACCTTGTGTATATCACCTTTGCAGTTCTATTGCAAGTTGGACATCTGTTTAAAGATGTCTTCACAACAGCATAAGCTATGATACATCTGCCTCCATTGGAAATAACAGAAGTTTGCCAATTTAGAGTCAGATACAGAAAGTTAGTAGGGCAAGAGAATAAGTTGTGCCCCATGAAAATGCAGTGTGTGCTAGACCAGGCTTACACATGCCAAGTAGGAAGGTAAGCCCACTATTGCTTGGCACAATCAGGAGAAGAAGCAATCACACACGAATTACCAGATCAGGTGGGCAAAGGTGTGTATGAAAAGGAGCTTGTATTGAAAGAGGAGAAAAAAAATATCCCAGAGAAGACAGAACTCACTGGTGATTATAATGGAACTAACAAAAAACATACCATGCCAATCACCTGCAGGAGATATTGTGCAGCTGGCAGATTGAATAGTAAATGCCAAAACCAAAGCATAGAGACATGTTTTACTTGCCCTTATGGCTGCACAGACTATGTTATGAGTTACCATACAGTGAACAAAATGAGACTTAATGAGCTAAATTAATGATTAACAGGTATTTTCATTGTGTTACTCATAACACACTCTATTGGTTTTACATGGCAAGGTTTTGGCTGCACGGGGGCTACAGGGGTGGCCTCCATGAGAAGAGTCCAGAAGCTGCCCCATGTTAGAGAAAAGCCAGCTCCAGCTGGCTCCAAAAGGGACCCACTGCTGGCCAGAGCTGAGCCACTGAACAACAGTGGTGTTCACATCTCGCATCTGTGACAGCATGTTTAAGAAGGGGAAAAATTGCTGCACAACAGAAACTGGGAGAGAGGAGTGTGAAAATGTAGAAAGAAACAGCCCTGCAGCCCCTAAGGTCAGTGCAGAAACAGAGCAGGAGGTGCTCCAGGCAGGCAGCAGCAGTCCCCCTGCAGCCTGTGGAGAGGCCCCTGGTGGAGCAGGCCGTCCCCCTGCAGCCCATGGGTCCCACAAGGAGCAGATCTCCATGCTGCAGCCCATGGAGGAGCCTCCGGTGGAGCAGGTGGATGTGGCCTGGAGGAGGCTGCAGCCCATGGAGAGCCCCCACAGGAGCAGGCCCCGGGCTGGAGCTGCCACCCGTGGAGAGGAGCCCACGCAGGAGCAGGTGATCTAGAAATTGCTGCTGCCCAGTGTGGATGTGTGCTGGTGCAGTCCAGCTCCTGAAGGATAGACAGCATGGTACAGACCCATACTGAAGCAGTTCTTGAAGAACTGCAGCCTGTTGAAAGCCCACGTTGGGTAAGTTCAGGAAGGGCTGCATCCCGTGATAAGGACCCCACAATGGAGCAGGGGAAGAAAGTGAGGATGAAGGAGACGCAGAGATGAAATGCTATCGACTGACAGTAATACTCCCTCTTCATTTTCTTGTGCCATTTGCAGGAAGGAGGTAGAAGGTGGATCAGGGGAAGGTGCTTTTAGTTCTTGCTGCTCTCTACTGTTATTAATTGGCAGTAAATTAAATGAATCTTTATCAAGCCAGGTCTTCTTTGCCCATGATGGTAACTGGTAAGAGATCTCCCTGTTCTTATCTCAGCCCACAAGTTGTTTCATCGTATTTTCTTCCCAGGTCCTGCTGAGGCAGGAGAGTGAAAGACTGACATGGAGGGTACCTAGTGTCCGCCACACATGCATAAGCTGCTAGCTCTGCTTGGGAAATTTATAATGTATTTTTCTCAAAATGGACTTTCTGATCATGGTTTCAGCCTCTTCAGAACAGCAGTAAGGGATGAATTCGAAATCCAACACTGCTAACATTTTCTAGGACCACAAATATGAAGAAGATACATGAATTTGGTAATGTTATATTCCTTCATTAACAGGACTGGAAAGCCACTTAACTAGAAATGATACTAATATAACAGGGGCACTAACCAGAGACTGTCGGAACAGGAAGCACTTCTTGGGGTCGATCCCACAGGCAAGGATGGCAGCGGTGGTGTCCAGGATGTTTTGACGCAGGAGAGCTGGTTCCTTCGGCATGGTGAGAGAGTGCATGTCCATAATGCTGTATAACACTGAGCTGTACTCTTCCTGCAGATTCACCCAGTTCTGAATGGCTCCAAGGTAGTTACCCAGATGAGGTGTCCCAGTTGGCTGTATGCCAGAGAAAATCCGATCCACGACCATGTTCTGTTACAAAGCATTGGTAAAATTAACATACGCATTTTTGACAAATTCTTTTATATTTTACGTTTATTAATAAAGCCTTACTTATGCTTGTCTCTTCTTTCCACTTGTCAATGTATTAAAAAGCCCTACCTAGAGATGCCTAAAAATAAGCGTAATAAGTCAGTCAAAATACTGTTACTGCAGAGACTGACAATTAGCATGATCTTAAATAGTCAGATCAAATATGCAAACAAATATAGCTGTAAGCATGATCAGTGAATGTTAGGTTTCAGAAACCAAGTGGTAGATTCTTTCATCTTCTTTTTGCTCTGAAACTGCATATTTCTCTTTAGTAAATTATCCTTTTTTATACCAATACTTAGGATCGCAACACAGAGACATCAAAACATTTTTATTATAAACATACACAATATCCAAGCAGATTGCCGTCTTAGCTCCCATGGACACTACATTCTTATTCTAGCTGCAGAGAACATTCTGAGTGTTCCTGAAAGAAAACTAGTCCTTGATCCAAAGGTCAAGACTATCAAAGTTCTGAAGCTATCCACCTTGGCAGCAGGAAAGTTTCTAAAGGGCTCTAAAAAGAAATACTGCCAAAGCTCAGGATCACACCTGGAATACCATCAACACAACAGCACCAGTGAAAAGTCAACATCTGAAGGAAGTTCACAGAAACTGCTAAAAATGATTAAGAAGCTGAGGTTGTGAGCAAAGATTAAAAAGCTTAAAAGATGTATAGCTTGGCTAGGTGACAGTTACCATCTTGGAAAGTTTGTTTTCCCGCATCTCAGCGCTCCATCTGACCGTTTCTCAGAGCCCCAAGCTGTCAGCATATGATCAATTACCTCCCTACTTTTCCAAAGAATTCCACCATATTCAGAGAGTAATTCAGCAATGTTTTACGTGAAAATCCTTGTTACATGCCAGGTTGTGAAAGCATGCAAGACTGCTCAACTCATAAACGAGGGTCTCAGCAACCTCAGCAGGGAGTCCCAGTCACAGAGATGTGCAATACAAACCATTAGACTCTGATGTGCAACAGGAACATCAACTCCATTATACCTCTGGCTGCAAGATTTCTTTCCCGCTAAGTTTTACAAGCAACATTTATAAAAAGTTATAGATTATTTATTTACTGATATTATGTTACCATTCCTGTGAATGTTTTAAATGTAGGGGGGTGGTAGGAGGAAAAAAAAAGTCACACAACTATGAAATCATGCAAAATGGCAGCAAGAATCAAAAACAAGTACCAGTAATTTTAACTATGAAAAATAGGACTTCAAATTGACTGCATTCCCTTAACACTTTTCAACTCTGACTCAAGAAAAATGATTGAGAAAGTATTTCCAAGCAGAGGTTTTTTTTTGTTTTTTTTTTTAATAATAATTATAATCTGTAGTTCAGAAAAGCCTAGCCTATTTACTTCAAAATTTGCTGAAAAATTATTGCTTTCAAAGCAGGCTAATTTTTCAGGTCAAGATAGTTTTCTTATCCAATGCATTAGCATTTGTGCCGACAGGTAAGCGCAAGTTCGGGCTAGCAGCCATACTAATTTCTCTCCTAAGTGCCTACACACTTAAGTCCATGTGGTAACCCTCCCCCTCCATCCCAAATATCTGCTTGATTTCACAGTATGTTCCTGAGTCAGTTTCTAAATGCTCTTGGGGAACCTCCAGCACAGTAGCTGGAATGTAGCTAGTGCTGTGAAAAGCACACCATTTCCTCCAACAGTAATTCTAACTCCCTGTTCTTGTGCTTCAGTCCTTGACCACCCATACCCCTTTTCTCCATCACAAAAAAATGCGATCATGCTATACAATGCCTTGCTTGCCATGTGACCCCTTGTTTTCCTAGGAACAGAGCATTTATTGCCACCTGCAGAACCCCTGAATTCCTGCTAAGCTACTACCTGGCCCGAGGACTGCAGCCAACTTGCTGTTAACTGAGCAAGTCCAGTGCTCACCTAGAGAAGGAGACATAAAGAATCCCAACATATATACGTAAAGTGAAGTTTTGTAGACACTTAAACTGAAGATTCACTAGGGTTCAGAGCTGTGCTGTTATTATTAAGGACATAGAGCGGTGGCGAAGCAATGCAAAAGTTATTCAGCAACATTTGTCTTTTGTTTCCAATGTTGCTCAGGAAAGAAAACAAGACTATAAATAGATGATCACTAAGATGGCATTCTGTACCCAGGGATCCCAGAACAGCTGGTTGTTTCTCAGAGCACATTTCCTCCCCTCATCTCTCTGTCTCCCTTCACTCACTTCTAATCCTGATGCTCCTTCCCACCTTCGTGTCTTTCCACAGTGCTGATTGTTTCCAGCACCCACTTATATGCCTGTTTAACCACACTATTCTACACAGGCTAAGGTTCACTTTTTGTTTTCTTCTCCATGTAGTTTTAGCCTTCCCGTGTTCTTGTAGTATTTTCTTCCCCTACTTGTTTTCTCCCATCCCCTGCTTCCCAGATGAACTCTTGCATGGCATATCAAGACAGCTAGGAGGCAGAGGATGCCATATGGTAAGGAGGCCATTGCTGCCTTGACTCCAGTGGCTTTATAGAGAATGTTTCCTAGCTGCACTGCTAGAATAGTTGAGAAACTGTACAATGTTTCAGAAATGCACTACGGACATAAATAAAGTATATGACCATGTTAAAGCATGATGCAGAAGATAGTGCATCTTTCAACTGCCATCTAGACAAAGACAGCATTACATGAAATATCCTGCTACTGTTTCATTTCCCTGAGACTCTGAAGCTCATAGCACTTTAGGACAGAAACAGCTCTGCCCCCTTGGGGTAAACATCTGTTGTACCAGGAATCTGGAATCTGCAGTTCACACAGGTCAGCTCATGTGCCAATGCCTTCACCCAAACACAGCTGGCACCCTGAGCCTGTGGAGAACAACTCTATCTACAAACCTCCTCAGCCCCAAAGTTACACTGATTCCTGTCTCCTGCAGCCTCGGTCCCTGCTTCATATGTTTTCCATGACATGTTCTTTATCTTCCTTCTTCCCTTCCAAGATCACTGCCAGCTCTGTAGATTAAGTCACTATGAAGGTATCAGACATACTAACAAAATTGTCCCTGATTTTAATACACTCAAATAGATGGCACAAATGTAATAAAGACATTTTAACAGGTAGTTCGAAAACATTTTTCACCAATAAAATACAAAATATTGGTGTCTCAACATGCACGTTCAAATTCTGTGCTAACACCAAATATCTTAAGGGTAATGATGAGCTAATTAAAGATGGGTTTATTGTAATACTATGTAAGTTAACATTTGGTGACACAATTTAAGTTGGAAAGAAAACACCCAACTACAATGCAAAACGGACATCGTTTTATATAAACAGAGAAGAAAGTTCTCTGTCTACCCAGAAAAGAGTGTACCTGTGAAAGCGAGCATGGCATCTTTAATAGTGCTTGTGTGTTCAAATGGTAAACAACTACTTATAAAAGGGTTGTTCAGTATATGGGCAATAAATAACAAGTTAAACACAAGAAACAAACAGTAGCAGCATTATACTGAGTCAAAGCTCAGCAATTACTTTACTCATAGTATGGAATTTGCAGAAACAAGTAAATCCAATAATGAAAACTGAGCTAGGCTTGACTTGCAAGTACATTACAAAGAACAAACCCACACTGGCTCCCAGCTGAGGGACCAGTTGACTAGAAGTCTTTCATCTTTAACTCCTTTGATTCTCTTTAACAACATAAAGCATGAGATGTTACAGCAAATAGGGTGGTATGAAATATTCCATTGTGTTAGCAGAAGTCTATATTAAACCAAAAAACAACAGAAAAAAACACCCCTAAACGAATCTTGAATTTCTAGCACTAAAAATATACAGAGAACATTGCTCCTTTGGAGAGAGTTTATGTTCCCTGTTTGTTCACTCCGTGAGAAGCAGCGGGCAGCATAGCAGCATGGCAGGGGAGTTCTGCCTGGTACCATGAAATCATAGGGCTGGAATGCGCTTCAGTGGAGCTGCTAGGTCAGGGGATGGGAGCTGTGTGCTCCGAAGTACCGAAGTTGGAAAAGGATGAAAACAAAAGGAGTGAAGACTTCCCAATGGAGCAGAGTGAAAGCCACAAGACATGCAGCTCCAGCCCACAGGCACTCACTCATTCAGACATCTGTAGTAAGCACAGCGTGAGCCTGCTGTTCGTATGTTTAACTCTGTATGGTGTGTGCACCTACACCACTAGTGCTGCATGTTAATCTACACTCCTGTTAAGAGGATGGGATCCGACAGACGTTTTAACATCCATTGCTTATTTTCTCTCAATAAGACATCTGCATGGTGATTCCAAACACCACAGCGCATTTCCTGGCTGCACTTCTAAACAAGTTTGGTCTAAAACCTGTTAAGGATCAGGTGTCTTCTTACCTACCTTCTTTTTCAGTAGTGAATGAGCAACTGCTGCTCCTTGAACTGGAAGAGTTCAAGAGCATTTACTTGTCAGCTGCTATCAGGAATAAGCATAACGTTGTTGCAGAGTGTGATGATCCCAATACCCTGCATCTATTCTGAATGCCAAAGGCTATATCGGAAAAGACGACACCTTCCCAAAGCCAGTGCTGCTGTTTTGGACCAATGCTGAGCTTTTCTCAACAGGTCACATATGCAGTAAGGAGAGATAGAATTGTCAAGGCATCAGTTTGGCAGTCAAAGCCAGACTCATTCCCTGTACATGTGAGACAAGTGTGCCAGAACTGGAGAACACAAAAAAGTTGCTAGAGTTAGGGAAACGCCATTTGTATGTCTCCTAAAGTCTATTGCAAACAGTTTTATTTTGAAAGCTAAGGTGTTTATAGCATGCTTGTCTACCCAAAATAATTCTTGAAAGAATATTACTAAAATCAATGAAATACTGTTCAGTTACATAGGGAAATATCTGCACGATACACAACTTTCTCATGTTAGTTATGGCATGGGCAGACTGGCTCAAGCAGCACTGAACCTTATTATCTTTGAAAGAAACATGCAGACTGCCTAAAGTTTATACGTACAACCATCTACCAAAGCAAGAAATTGTTTGAAGAGAATGGGGAATTCAAAAATACCTTTGACTTAAGTTCCCCTTATTTTTTTGTCCTTGGTGGGCCAAACTGTTTTCACATATTAAGCAGTCATGCTACATCAAGAAACAGTCCCTTTCACAAGTTATAGGAACCCTAGGGAAGGAGGATTTTAGGGGTTAAGATGTATACCTCAGAAAACAGACACATGACTCTCTCATCTGTTAAAGAGCACACAGAGAAGCTTCCAAGCTCTTCAGCAACCCAGCAGCACGTTAGAGCAGCTATGCAGTCCTTTCGATGCTGGTAGCTGTACAGATTGCATTTCCAATTGTGTTTAAAAGCTTTTTGCAACCTCCAGAGCAGGATGCCATATGCTCCTTAAACTATTTGCAGCTGTAGAAGAAGTTTCACAATAAAGTTTCTCTTTTTCATTCCATGACTTTCAGCTGACTCAAATTTACTTTGTTAATACCCTCTAATTTAGACATCTGTACAATTAGAGTACATATTACTCAGATATAGGTATAATTGATATCCAAACAAAACAACAGCTACAAGACATCTTCAAAAAAAAAGCCCATGTAAAACAATTACATACTTAAAAATTAAATTAAAATACATAATAGCTTCTTCAAAGAAATCTAGAAAAATGTATTTCTTTAAAATTAAAGATTACAGACTGTGGAAAGTAGAGACTTTAAGACTATTTTACGAACAAGCATGGAAATGTACAACTAGCTATGATCTAGCATTGCTTTACCAAACTAAAAATCAAGTGGAAAGCAAAACACATGTCCATTACTAAAAGCATTTCATTATATCACTGACCATGAACTTACAGGGCTCTTTCCATGAGCTCAGCACCACATCTGCACCTTTTAAAAGGGCAAGTCTTCTTTTGTTTATTAGTATAAGAAGCCACCTCTCTCTCCTTTAAAATTATAGGAAGTTGCTATTTTTTTTTTTTTTTTAAGATTTTTTAGATTCTTCACCAGGAAGAATTTATTTATTTATTTTAATTTGTCAGGCTAAGACCCAGGCAAGCTCAAGTATGAACTGTCTTCATACTGCAAGACACAGCACAGACACAAATATAGCCATTTCGTGAAGGAACCTGTGATTTGGGAAGCCTCAGACTGCATTCACTCAAAGATTCAAGCAGATCAAAAAACCTCTGTGTCACTCTAAGCAATTCTTTGTATCTTGACTATGCCCATCATGTTTAGCTTCATGAATTCTGGGAGAGCTGAATCTAAGTTAGATGTATTTATCTGGCATGGTCAACAGAAATCTGCCTCTCAAACACGCAGCAGAATCAGCCGTAATGCAATTAATTTGATTCTCAAAAGGAATTACACAAACAAAATGAAGTAAAAGCATTCACAGGAATTAAGCTTCTTCTTCCTAACTTCTTTATAACTTTATTTATAACATAAAGATTGCAATCATACACTTGAAAAGATGTCAGATGAAGACAAACCTACAAGTATAAAGAAATCTTATGCCAATAATTGAATCTCTTCCATGTTTTAAAAAGAGAAAAAAGCTAGCATCTGTTCAAGGAGATAGGAGAAAACTGCCCATTAGCAATTCTCAGGACTGCTTTCTCCTTTTCATTTGGCATAGGAAATATTTAGATAATTTCATAAGAATTCAGCTGATAGGAGTCTGTTACAGAGCTACGGTTTGACATGACAGACCATAATAAGACCATGGCACTAATCCTGGCCTAGAACTACAGAGGCAGTACATCTCAGTTTTTCAATCTAGTGGTACCCAGGGAAGGGGGAGATGGACACTTGTATTTTCAAGACACCCCTCCCTCCAGCCAGATACAGAGATATAAAAATCAACTCCTGGAGAATCTGCTAATTGTATCGTCTGAGTAACAGAGCATAAAGGTGAGGTTTCTGAATAATTCCTTTGGTCTGTTCATAAATCTAACCCAGAAAGTTAACTGATGGGAGACCCCTGCATCTACATGATATATCTAATTAATATTTTCATTTTTAGATTAATTAAAAGAAAAACAACTCAGTCACAAGCTCACCTTTGGGCTGAAACACGAGCAATAGTTTTCAGAGCTAAAAACCTCATCATTACAGAAGATTGCAGCAGTATTACAATAGCTGTAACACAACAACAGCTGCGGCAGCAATCACCCTACAACCCACAGCGATGGTTGCTTTTCACATGCTATAGCATTTAGCCCCTCCGCTTTATTTTGATAGCCATGTAGTCAGGGCAGAACAGGTGAAGAGGCGAGCGAAGTCTGCAGCATCCGAGCTAATTCTAAACACAGGTGGCGGGCAAGACGGAGAGAACAGGAAGTCGACAGGAGAATCGCTGCTGACACGTACGACAGGCAAGATTGATGGCTTCCCTCTCTAGTTTTCCCCACTGTGTAGGCACGCAGGGGGTGGGGGAAAGGGACGGAGAAGCTGCTGTGCTGGCGACATAACACACCGCACAGCCGCCTCAGCGCTAGCACTGATTAATGAGACTGGAACGACTCAGGAAACAGCAAAGGATCATTCACAGACATTGCTCTTCTTGTTATAATTTTATCCGCGGCGGTTCATTTAGTCCTAGCTGTCCCAAACTGAAGCAAGTTCAAAGTTGCCAGAAAAAAAAAAGCAAATGTGAAAGTCAGGGGGAAGAAAGAGCAGCATTAAGTAAACACAGACTCGAGTAAAACACACAAATTAGAAATTTTCAAATTTCAAACGTGAAGATCCTCCCAACAGGGATCAAAAAGGGAGAAAAAAAAAAAAAAACACAACAAAAAACGAAAAACTTGCCTCAACCTCAAAGACAAAAGAAATTCTTGGGCTGACAAAAGTTCCCAACTACTGCATTTTTTGCATCTGTCTATGATTTTTTATTTCCCTCATTAATACTTTACAACTTCAAAGCTCTCGTTTCTGAAACGATACGCTGGCTTAGCAGAAAACTGTCTTCAACCAGCTATTAAGCAGCAAAATGCAGGGAAACCAGAAGTCAGATTTTACTAGCCAAAGCATATATTTTAAAGCCTAATTGGGACAATTTAAGTGTTAATGCCACTAGAAATCAGAATAAAAATGTAAGAGGGAACCTTAGAAGCAGTCTATGTACTACAGGCTTTTCTTCATTTATTGCCTCTTAAGCAATTACTTCTCCGCAAAGTTGCTGTAGAAGCCTTTAAAACATGTTTATCTCGATCTCTTAATTCAATACATCAAATTCATCTGGTACAAATGCTATTTCATCATGCTTATTTCTTAAATTTAGGGATTAAAGAGCTAACATTAAATTAGAAAGAAAACATATTTATACCAGAGCAAGATTTCAGATTAATAGCTTCTCAGAAGGGCTTAACTCACTGCTCAGAAACCGAAATAAATTAAGATTTAAAGAGCACTGCCTGGTACCCCTTTCTTGAATGTCAAATACATTTATATTTAAACTTAAGTAAGATTTTAATATTTATATTTAAAATGAGAAACACATTTAAAGGAGAAACATTTACAGCATACACTAACCCCACTCTATAAATTTAACTCTGCCCTCTAGGGCTAGCAAACGACGGCAGTGTAACTGCGTTTGGGTTAGGCTGCCCTCTCATGCTGCCTCCTTGAAGATGACTAAGCGAATGGATCCTTTCATGTGGTGCACTGTGTCCCACAAACGTATTCTCCCATTTGCCTTTATGAGCTCCACGTGCCACTCGACGTGCTAGTGACAGCTGTACTGACAGGCACAAGGATTATCTGTGGCAGGTTGCCGCAGTCCACACCACCGCACCGCAGAGTCACCTCCGAGCCCCAGGCATCGCAGGCCTGTCCCCCTCTGTGCAGCGTTAAACAGGTGACACAAACTCCAGCTAAGGGACAGCGAAGCAGCCGGCAGCCTACAAAACAGAAGAGTTGGCTCAAATACCCCGCAGAGGTTTAGCACAAGAGGCAGTGTTAATCTTTGACAGGGCGGGAAGGGTTTGCTCGCAGTGGGTGAAGTAAGCAAGCACAGGTCCTGCACGCAGCCAGCTGTTGTGACCGATCCTACTCAAAAACACAAAGCCTCCCTGAGCAAGGCCACAGCCCCATAGCCTGATTTTTAAGTGCTGTGCTCCCTACAGCACACAGACGCAGGGGCTGCTGCTGCACCGCCTGGTTCCAAAGCCACGCGCTGAACTGCAGCCGAAGGTCTCAAACACCACAAGACGGGCAGCACCCTCCCTTTTTTAAAGCAATAAAGCTTTTTCAACCAAACTTCCTATTCACACATTAACTGCATTCACACATTAACTGCATCCATTAGCCAATTTCACCAAAACCCAGTGAAATACCCAGTTAGTGCCTCTCCAGCAGGAGGCTGCAGGGGGAGCTAGGCCTGCTGGACAACCAGCAGGAGGCTTCTGGCCAGCTGGGCAAGGCACCAAGGTCAGGCCAGCCTCATGCACGCTACCTCCAGATCCCTTAGGTGACACACACAATGATCAAAGCTGAAATTATGATAGTTACACAGTACTGTAGGCACTGCTTACAAGGAAAAAGGAAAAGTAGAGGGAGTTATGCAGGCTCATTTCATTGCAGAGAACACACTCAGGACACACACCCATAGAAAAGTTTACTGAACTTTGCTGAATGAGCAGCAATCAAATAATAAACACTTGAGGGCACAGATTCCTGGAGACAATTCTCTGATGTATCCACCAGGTCTGCCTTCCTCCTGATCCAGCTGCAGCCCCATGGGCCGTACAAAGCACACTTGCACAGCAGCAGCGGGCCAGGAGAGAGCAGAGCGGCTTCTACTCCACGCTGGGACCTCACCCAAGAGTTACTCTGCATTAGTCAGAGTAACTGCAATTTTTGGAAAATACAGGAAGTAATTTTAAGAACCTAGAAGAAATTACAGCTATAAACAGCAAACAGCAGTACTTCTCAAGATCTAGCGATGCCAGACTTTTCTAATAACCTTCTACAGCAGAAGGGATGCTAGTATGGAGAAGTATTAAAGGTTATATCCTGATTTTTAGGGTCTCAATTTCCCATAAGCTACAGAAATAGCACCTAGACAAAATGCTACATGCTAGGGGGTGGAATCGGACAGCAAAAAACAAAGAAACAAAACAGCATTTATTGATGGCTTACAGTGGGTGTGGAAAGATAAACCAATTGCAGATTTGCAGGGTTTCATCTGGGGTCCAGTATTATTCAGTACTTTAGTATCTTCATTAATAATCTTGATGATGAAATAAAGAGTATTCATTAAATGTGCAGACACCAAGCTGGAAGGGCTCAAAGCGATCTTGATAGAGGGGCAAAATGGTCTGAAAAAATGGGATGCTCTTTACCAGGAAAACGGACATCGATATATACAGTGAGAAATACTGAACTGCATACATACAAGGAGAACAGCTGTTCAGGCAACAACTGCAGAACAGGATCTGAAGTTTATAACACTTCAGAAAGTGAAGACTTAATGTCATGCTTATGCAAAAACACAGATTAATAAACTACAGCAAAAATTGCACAGGAACACATTGACAGAATCAAAATCGAAAGGCACAAAACAAATCTCTCACCCTACTCATGATGACGATGGCCTCAAGCTGTAGCAGTGGGCCACGATCTGGGTCTGCATTTCAAAACAGTGGTAGAAAAAGGCCACAGACGCGTAACCAAATCTAATGAGAGACCTCAGAAATAAGACTATTAAAGAAAGCCTAAAAGAACTGAGGTTTAGTCCAATGGAAGGAAAACTGAGGAGAGACAAGATTTTAAACATGCCTTAAATACATAGTCCTCTGCATATGACTTTTGAGACCACAGTTAATAGGGTAAGAAAAAATGAGCTTAAGTTGCAGTAAGAAAGATTCAGACCAGATGTAACGAAAACTTCAACAGCAAGCAAAAGAAAACATTTCAGAAGAGTGCTTACAGAGGTTCTGATTGCCTAACAGTAATGAAATAGTTATAAGAAAATATCATATGAGATGTGTTGATAAAGACATAGGACAGCTCACTTCTATTTTGGGACAGCGGAAGCACCAGATCACCTCTAGGTGGTTCTCTCCCAGTTCTTTGAGCCTATGATTTTACGTAACCACGACTAAGGTCAAAGTGAGATGAACGAAGATAGAAGACAGCTCTACGTAGACTGGCTAGATCTCACGGTAGCTCAAGATGCAAGTCCTTCTACCAGCATTTAACAAAATCTGAGATTTGAAGCCTTTTCACAGGTAGCAGCTATACACTGACATGCTTTGAAAGACCATTCTGTGTTGCTGAAAGATGTGAAATCCTGGTTAACGTCAACTGCTTGACATCTGGTAAATACCCATATTCAGAAATGTACACTGCTTTAATAGAATAAAACTGACAGCCATCTTTGAAGAATTAGCACTCATTTTGCTATAAGAGACCAACATTAATAAAGTCATAAATTATTTATAAATTATAATTATAGCTTATTTGAACAAACACATTTTAAGTATTGAAAACATTGCACTCTTAAAAAACAAACAAACAAAAAAGCTAAAGAATGCCCCCATAACTAAATACTTCCCTCCCAGAGAAATTGGAGAAGTTTTATGTTTTTGATCACAGTAGTATCCAAATATCTTAAAACATCTGATGACTGTTGATTCTCCTCTGACCTCTAGCTGAAAGAGAGTTCATTATATTTCTTATATATTTTGTTTGAATGAAGAGTCTGCCTGCTACCAAGATTGCCCTATGGGATATAAACAAAGACTATCAACTTACATCTAGAGAGATGTTTTTCAAAAAATAAAAATTCCAAAGAAAAGTTATGTTTCTTCAGAATATTATCATAGAAACTCAAAGAGTAGTTCATTTCCCCTCCATTATTTTATTTGGCAATTACCTTTAGCTGGGAAAAGTTGTCTTCATTTCACATGGGGCCAAAATTAACACAGCTGTTTAAAAATTTTCACCTTGTGGTCACTGTCTGAAAAGGAAAATTTTAAAACCACCTGATGACTGTTGGAAGAACTTACAAAGTAGAAGTCTCAGTAAATTCCCTAATGGCATACTCATGCACAAAGAAAATGCCCCAACTGGTCCTCCTTGATAACTCTCCTAAGCATAGACAAGTTGAATACTTTAGGCAGAATAATCACTTCTGTCAAGGACTTCTACAGCATTAAAAACCAAAACAAAACATTTTCTGAAGTGAGAAAGGTAATACTTGGAACTTCACTTAAATTGTTTTTAATAAGTCTGTCCCAAAAATCACCAGATCAGGCTGTTTCCACAGAAAGGACAAAAAAAGAACAAGGAATGGATGAGGGAGACAAAAACAGGAAGGTTCATTTATGCTCAGGTCTTGCCCTCAAAGATGGATGTAGCCAAGGCATGATCCTGAGTTGAGGAGCACAGAAGCTCATCTGGAAGCTTCAGCTCAGATACAAGTACTGACCCCAAAGACAGTGGTCAATATGGCCAATAAAAAAAATGGTCAAAATAGTCAATAAAAGCTATATGCTTTCCCTAAGGAATTGTATCTAAGATTGTGTTGAAGATAGGATGAGTGTAGTATCCAGATTTCCATTGCCTGTGCTGGAAAAAGTAGGCAAGCAACTACTGAAATCGCCACTGCTGAAATGTTCATTATACAGAGCAAATTCTTTGCTTACAAAAGAATTATTATTTATATGTATATATATATATATATATATATTTTAATTTTGCGGATTTGTAGCAGTACATTTAAGGGTTATCATGATTGAGGCCTATTGCACGTAGAAGTTTGCAGAATGTTATATGTGAGATTAGAATAGCTGCATGAACTCCATCCATGTCACATCGTCCCATCACAGTCCCAACCGTGATGCACTTTGAGCCCAGAAATGTCAAATGAAAAGTTCCTTAGTTCCTGGATGACACTGATTTATTTTAAAGATGGAATCTCCCTCACTAACTTACCTGTATTACCCAAACTGGCCCACAGGAAACCAGAAAAATTGCCCACCCTCAGGTTGGATATACAATTTGTACATTGGTGTAAAAGCAGACTGTACTGCAGTTATACCAGGGACGTATAATATTCCATTCTGCTTTGAATGTATTCTGCTAAAGACTCAAAATCCATTTAGCATGGCCGTGAACTGTAAAAATGTCACTCTGAAGTGAGGAACACCACCTTTGGCTGTTCTGACCTTGCTTAATGTTTGATGAACATGGAAAGTGCTGACACTGCTTTAACTCTGCAAAGATGTCAAATGTGAATATATTCTAAAACAACAAAAAACATTAGAAATATATGGAGACCAGAAGTGTACTCATTCTTGGTGGTAGCAATTACATAGGTTAATTTGTTGCCAGCAGAGATGCAAAATGAGATTTGGTTAGGAATTCAGAGGGCTGGACCCTTCATTCCCTTTACATAAGCAACAAAGAGGCTTTGAAATGTTTGAAACCGTTTTGTTCTTCTGTGCAAAAGGAAAGCACCCTATGGATGCCTATTAAGTAAAGTCTTTCCACATCTTGGCAAGTATGTGATTTCAAGAAAAATATTTGCAAATGGATAACCCAATTCAAGTAGAAGTCAAAAGACCACCTTTGAAAGAAACTTTGATGTGGCTATAAAAAGATTATATTTAGGAAGGATAGAATAATGTGTTTCTGTCATCAAAAGTTTGTAGCTGCCCATAATTCTTTGCTGATGTTAATGTAAAAAGCAACGCTGGTAAGCAGAAAAGGGAATGCCCACGAGACCTTCTAGGATTAAGGAAGAATCCCTCAAAAGAACTGTTTCTGTTGTTGGATAAGC